TTTAAAACATAACAATAAAATAAAAGTCCTGGAGACGAGACGGGGTGTGTGGAGTTAATACAGCTTAGACAATATCATTTCAGTGGATTATGGTTCAGTTATGTTCCCTGACTAAAGGTACTGAGATGTACCCTTGAGGGTCCCACCCCAGTGACAAGAGGGGCACTGCCCCCCTTTTTTTCTGAGAGTTTATAAGAGCTGTGGTCGGACAGCGTAGTCCCTTAAACCGCCCAAGCCGTCATACTACCTCTTGATCTCTGCTAGCTTTATGTTCCTTTATGAAGTGCCAAATTACTTTCCAGCAAATTACTGTTGTTTTGTCTGGCTGAGATGACTATGCACTGGCATCATTTTTTTGCAGAATTAAGATTTACTCAGATTTGAATGAGAACTTTATGTACAAGCTACTAGATGTGCTTGGCTCTGAGAAGGACAGGGATGCCTCTGTGGAGAGGAGCATAAAGATAGGCCTTCTCTCATTTTCCACCTCCATTCCAGCACTGCAGTAGTTGATTGGACAGTAAAGGCCTCGCTGTCTTGGCCGTGTTAACGAGACGCCCTGCTGGATCTAAAATAAGAGCCGTGTCGCCAGGTAAAACCAGGAGCCACATAATAAACCACTGTGACCAAATTAGGCAGAGACTGTGTGTGCGCATGTGTACATATGTGTTTTTGTGTCACTCATTTTATGAACGTGTGTGGGTGTGCTTGTGTATGTCTGCGTGCGGATTTGAGAGAATGCCAGTAAGACGCAGGATACCGTGGCCAGACAGCAGTGATGGCGCTAGCTCTGTCTAGAGCTTTGTGACGCGACACAGGAATCCAGTGTGCATTAGCCCATAAGCCACGCTCAAGACACGGCGCGCTAGCCTGTAAGCCGACAGCAGCAGCGCCGTATGGTGAAGTCAGTGATGTGGGGAGCAGAGCAGGCTGTTGTGCCGATGTGCTGGAGGTGCTAACGGCCATAAAGCGCTTTACACACACAAATAAAGAGCAGCTCCTGCGCTCCTCAGAGCTCATAAAACTCACTACCTCTCAACGCTCTCCAAACAGAAAAGGGCAAACACATGCAAACATGTTTTCACTAAGATGCGCATGCTCACTCGTGCACATACAGATACTTATGAGGCTACAGTGTCCCACAGAAATGTACCGTACATACAGTATACAGACATGTGCTAACCATGTTTAAAAATAACTGCGTTTGGAGTTTAAGAGAAATCTCCATATCTTCTCAGGCCACGTAAGCCTCTTTTACACTGTACAGTCAAATGGTTACCACAGTCACACTGCTGTTCTGTGGCATGTTGCTAAATCAGGACTAGGAAGTATCTAAGAAAACATACGAGTGGGTCAGCGATGGCCTTTCTTGTGTAATAATTTTGCTGTTGTTGGAGCTCCCCTTTCTGTTGAGTGACAACATGGAGAGTTTCAAATTTGGATGACTGTTTTTTGGATTAGTTTTGGTTTGGGGATGCAAGTTGAGGCGTCAGAAAAGTGACGCAAATGTAATGTGAATCAGGGGCTGAGTTCATGAAAACTTTCTTCAGAAAAAACTTGCAAAAGTTCTTAAAACAAACACTGCGAAGTTCATAAGAAAATGATTCATTCAACAACCATTCTAGACCCAATTAGGGGGCTCCCGAGTGGCGCAACCATCTAAGCGTTGGCCCTATCAACAGGAGATCGCAAATTCGATCCCTGGTGATGCTACAGGAACCTGTGGCCGGGATTCCAAGAAAGCACAACTGGCCTCGCTCTCTGGTTGGGTAGGATGCCCCCCCTGCCCCCCCGTCTCCCCCCATCACCCAAACGTGATGCTGTTAGTTGACGTAACAGATCTGGCGGTTGGTGCTTTCCTCTGAGCACATTTGGCTGTCCAATGACATTGCTTTAGCTGCAGTTTGAAAAGATGCGGTGGTGCTTCACAGGTCTCGGAGGAAGCCTGTGTTAGCCTTCGCCCTCCTAGCACTGATGGTATCGTATGATTGGGAGAGTCCTAACTAGTGGGTGGAATTGGAAACGACTGAATTGGGGACAAATCCAAAAAAAAAGGAAAAAAAAAAACATGTATGCAGTCTTAATGAATATTGTGACATTCACCAGTTTTCTTATTTGGGATTTGTTCTTAGGTAAAAACAGAATCTACACACACTCAAGTGCTCAAAGGTGTGAACAGTTCTGAGCTTTAAGAACACGTCATGAATCTGATGTAGACTTTTTCTTAGGACCTTTCTCAAGAACACATTTAAGAACAAACTTAAGAGGATATTGGTGAATGAGGCCCAACGTTCTTCAATCCAATTCTCGAAAAAAAAAAACTAAAGAAGTTCTCAAATATTCTCTTCAGATAATCTTAATTGTTACGGAACATAACTGTACCATGATCCACAGGAATTATATTTTCTAAGCTGTACTGACTCCACACACCCCGTCTCGTCTCCAGGCTTCTTATTTTATTGTTCTGTTTTAAAACATTCGGTTATGAAAAGGTACAAATACAAACTTTTCACCTGGAAAAACTTATTTAAGGTTCACAACTGGACCTTAACACCACTGTTGTACCTTTGAGGGAAGCTTTACATTGTTTGTACCTTGCTGAACAAAAATGTACCTGAACAGAGCCTTTATTTCTAACAGTGTATAAGTAGAGGTGAGTAGGGGTAGGTAGTAAATAGGGGTGTAACAATTCATCCTATCACTGTAATTTTGCAATACAAAGCTGTGACATTGTGGAGTGCATTGTGGTGATAATACATCGTAAAGAATGGACATTGTATTAATAAAGCTATTTAATGCGACTCCTGCTCCCAGCTCCAGTGTCGTCAGGAAGCCGTGCAACAACATGATTACAGACATCATTCAGCTTTTGTTCAAAATGTTGTAAGAATACCAAATGAATTTGGTATCGTGGATCAAACTGGATCGTGGGCCAAGTCAGGCCCATAGCACAACCCTATTCAGCCCATAAAAATACGTTCCATTTTCTGATGATATTGGCCCATTTCACCATGAACTGCGCTGCAGTTGCCAGCAAGTGTAATGTGTGCTCCCACCCCTTCCCCAACAACGATCTATGGGACTGCACCACAAAGATGCCAGGTGTCTAGTCCAAGCGAATGGGCAGTGTAAAAAACCTACTGTACACTGGGGACAATTAAAGAGGTTTAACAGTTAATCTGCAGCTAAAAAATGCTTTTTTAAAAAAAGTTTATTGTTTTTATTTAAAATTATTTTTAAATTGTTCAAGTACTCAGTACCTATTTTTTGCCATTGTAGTTTTGGCATATTGTGATACAATGGCCAGTTAGGGTCATGGCAATATGTAAAGTTAGAATAATATAAAAACACAGCTGACTACGGAGCCCTGATGATGACATCCTGTATAAATAAAAATAATGCATGAGAAATGAAAATAATAATGAGATGATTAAGTCGTGACTCGTAATAATGAGATCACGGCATACTAAGTCGTGGCCACGCATTAGGATCTCGTTCCCACGCTTTACTAAGTCGTGGCCGCGACTTACTGATCTCATTCTCACGCCTTACTAAGTCCACGCATTGTTTTTATTTATACAGGATGTCACCAGCGGGGCTCCGTAGCTGGCCATATTTATTGAGATTTTTTAAAATTTGGCCTTTTTAGTGGTTGAGTTTGACACCCCTGGCTTAGTATATTGTTACACTCCATAATGAAAAGCATTATACAGAGACTATAATAGATTCTTGTGAGTAAAGTACTAGAATTGCTCCAGGAAAAGCCATTAATGTTCATGTCAGCATCCTCCTGCCTTTTTGTCTTGCTTCTAGGCCTTCATCCTCACAACTTTACCTAAGTTTAGACAAGTTAGACAAGTGCCGTGCACATCTGTGCTGTACACATCCCGGATATGGAATCCTTTAGACTAAATAATGCTTGTGAAACCTGCCCAATCATCAAGTACAACACATGTAGACAATCATCTTAGCAATGAGTCAGAGTCAGTATCAGTCACTGACTTTTGACTTACATCAGAACAACAGAATAGGATGTAACAGGAGCCACAGCCAGATGGAGTCAGCTAGATGTTACTGTAAGAGCGCGTCATATGACTGAAGCGTCAGTGTCTGATTATAGGCAGCATTGCATGGATCCTCTTCACTAGAGGCAGGATGGCAGAGAACCAGTGTTGTAAGATGTTAAAGAATAAGGCAGAGTAACGAAACACTGACCCAGAACAGGGAGGGTGTGTCAGTCTGGAGCCACAGAGCTCTTCAGATTGAGTTATAGGCTGGAGTCTCCACAGTAGCAGGTTGCTGTGTCAGGGCTGTGTAAAACTCACTGAAGTGTGTTACTGGTCTCCAGTGTTACAATGTTACCCCAACCAACACACCCACACTGAGATTTATAGAGCTGTCAGAGACATTGTAGTGCCTCTGCTAAATGCGCACTCACACATACACACACATACCAGTCACACAGATATACATTAAACAGAGTGACCTACACACTTCGGTTAACAAGACGCAGCTTGAACCATGCTTTTAGGTCCGGGCTTTTGGTCTTATGAGCTCCATTCAGAAAGGCTTGTGAAAGTGTAGGCCCTTTTCCCGTCAGGAGCGTGAACCTATCTACTGGTAGGCCTGTTTGTGGCTGTGACGGACTACCTGCCTGTCTCCCAATCGCTGTGTTTATTTGTTTGGCTGTCTGGAGGATGCTTATATGGATGCTGGAACATTCCTGTTCTGCATCTTAACTGGCTGCATTCTCCAGCTACTTCAAATAGGGAGGAGGAAAAGAGGGGGGGAAAAATGCGCCACAAATAAACAAAGGCAGTCACTTTCACAAATACCTGTGTGGGGCTAGCTCTGATTAGAGGATCAAATGGAACATAGTGGCCCTGAGAGACTCTTTGTATGTGCGTGAGTGTGTGTGTGTGTGTGTGTGTGTGTGTTTGTGTGGGTGGTGCACCTTAATAACTGTTTACCTTCCTCTCTCGCTCCATGTTTGCTGGTAGATGTGGACGAGTGTCAGGACAACAATGGTGGGTGCCAGCAGATCTGCGTGAACACAATGGGAAGCTACGAGTGCCAGTGCAAGGAAGGCTTCTTCCTGAGTGACAACCAACACACCTGCATTCACCGCTCTGAAGGTCAGTCTAAAACCGTGTGTGTGAGATTAGGATGCTGCTTTATCCATCCAGGATGCTGATTAAACCCCTTAACACTCCAGGCTTATTACATACTAAGGCTTATCATTCAGTAACTACAGGGACTTCAATGCAAACTAATGAGGCTTTTCGTAGGTTATAGAAGTGTGTAATAAAACTTTGGGCCCGCTGGCAGGCCCATGGCTCAGTAAGGGGATAACCTTTCTTAGGATTTTTGTAAATAATCAGCAGCCAGTTGCACCAGCTGAATGTAAGTTCGATCGTAAGTTGGAGTGTAACGTCCATCCTAAACCTTAAGTTGAGAGTAGTTATTTTAAAACTAGCCACACATAGAATTTCGGTGGCACCACAGACCTTACAGTACATCTTAACTAGTACATTTGCATATACATTTACAGCATTAAGCAGACGCTCTTATCCAGAGCAACTTACAAAAAGTGCTTTGTCTATCCAGAGAGAGTATCTTCGCTAGTTACCAATAGGTTAGAGAGAAAGCCAGTCCTGAGCTCAGATACTGCTAGAATCAGAAAGTCATTATTGACACCCAGAGAAAAAGGAACAGAGTTAAACACAGAGCAGTGCAATACAATACAATACAATACATAAGTGCAGTACAGTACATTACAATCAATACTAAACTCAGTGCTCATTTAAGTGCTGTATAAAGAGACGTGTCTTCAGTCTGTGTTTGAAGACAGCGAGAGACTCTGCTGTACGGACAGCCAGTGGGAGTTCGTTCCACCACCTGGGTGCCAGCACAGAGAACAGTCTTGATGCTTGCCTTCTGCGCGCATTGAAGAATGGCGGGTCAAGCCGAGCTGTACTCGAAGCTCAAAGGCTCGTGCTACAGTTTGAGATTTGACCATTGCCATCAAGTAGGGAGGGGCTGGTCCGTTTTTGGCTTTGTAGGCAAGCATAAGGGTTTTAAATCTGATGCGTGCAGCTACGGGAAGCCAGTGAAGGGAGCACAGCAGTGGGGTGACGTGGCTGAACTTGGGGAGACTAGTAGTGCATAAAGTGATCATAGATCAACACTGTCGCACAGGATGACGTTTTCACTCTGCAGCCAATCAGTAACAGTAGTCCACATAAACAGGAAACATTACGTGCATGATCTCCACACGCAGTGAAATTTCTCTCTTTTCGTGCTGCGTTTACTTCGCTTAAAGTGTGTCGGTCGTATCAGCTGTAATTCAGAAAGAGAGTGTTTTATGATAAAGCTGTGTCCTCAAAGTGTCCGTCTCTCGTATGTGTGTTTATTCTGCTCTGCTGCTGTTTCCGAAGTTCAGACTGTGTTTCTCGTTCACAATATTTTAACGGCACTTTATCAGTGAATGGTCGGTAACGTTAGCGAAGCTGCGGCTAATGTAATCGCTATTTGAATCTGCGGGACAGAAAGGTAATGTTAGTTATGTTAGTTATATTTTAAAAAATAATCCGTGTTATGTTTTGCATGATAACAAGGTCAGCGTCACACACAGCCTGAGCACTGATGGAGCTGCTCTTACTTCTCTGCACGCAGTTGACGTGTTCTTGAATAGTGTCACCCACCGGGTTTTGGAGTGACCCTGTAGCAAAATATCTCAGACACAAAGTAGGACTCAGGGCTCTGTTCTCCGTCTGTTAGGAGGTCTGTGATCTTTTCTATCTCCAATTGACGAAAACGGGTGTGGTCTATGCTGCAGAAACGGTTGCCGACCCAAACCGAGACAAATTTCGTTTTCTCGCAAGCTTTCCCATCGATCAAATCAACCAGCCATTTTAACTGATTTTCACAGCAGAACTTACACCTGCTGTAGAGTATGTGTACATTTTAAGTTATAACTTAAAGCTACGTTGAAACTATGTTACTTGGTGTAACCGGTTAAATTCTAGTTACTCGTAAACTTGAACGTAGAGGCAGTTTACGTTCAAAGTAGGCAACAATCGAACTTACATTCAGCTGGTACAACTGGCTGCAGATCTTTTTGAACTTTCAAACTTGACATAGGAATGATGTTTTACATATCATAGTGCAATGTAATAGCAACAGAGCAAACTCTGTTTGTAAAGTGTTGTCAGCCCAATTTGCTGTTGTAGAGAGGTCACTGCATGGTCATTACTCAGGAGTTGATCTTGATGGAAGTTTTCTTAAGGCTGCACATTAGAAACATGAAAAGGGATCAGAGGACAATATCCGAATGTGCCTCTGCTCACTGGAATACTGAAGGTTGTGATCCAGGCCTGAAGCAACAGGTCATGGGCAAAGGGTCGAATGCTTTGACATGTGTTTCTTTGTCTGTGGGTGCCACATGTTTGCAGAGTGAGTGTATGTGCAGTGAGTGAGGGGTGGACACACCACTTGGCTTGTAACACGTGTGTGTGTGGTTCATGCAGTCCTGCATGTTCTGGCGTTTTCTGCCTGTCAGGGTTAAAGAATGAAACACATTTACACTTGGACTATTGAATTCCCCAGCACTCGTTGAATAAAACAAACACACACAAACACACACACACACACACGCACACACACACACCCACACACACACACACACACATATGTGCACACACACAAATGAGAGTGGCTGTGTGTGCTGTAATAATTTCTGTGATGTCACTCACGCACATGTGTGGAATGTGGAGGGTAGATGACCCCCCTTCATTTTCATTTCTCACCCACAAACACATATAATTTCGGTATCCCCTCTCTTGCCCTCTCTGACTGTTCCTCTGTTTCAGTGTGGACAGTTTTCATGGTGCTAAATAAGCAAGATCTTTTTTGTGATCAGTTTTTTATTGAGAAAAGTACAGGGAGGAAACATCATACACCATATATTTTTACTCTTTTTAACCCCATATTGCTGCTGTCAGCCTTGCATCTCCATTTTTATTTGAAAGAGCCTGTTGTCCTTTACATTGTGTGTAGAGTTTCATGATGAATGGTCTAAAATAAATGGCCCAAAATGACTTGGAAGCCTGGTTCCATTGACTTCCATTGAAAGTGATGTTTTTTACTTCTCCTCTAAAGTTACCATTTTGGAGATACAGCGTTTTGTTCTGACAGCAGGCATATACAGACCAAACATATATAAAACAGGCTTATGTGAACATAAGGAATTAACAGTCATCAAATCCCTATATCCCCTATCCCTCTGCTTAACCTCCCCATGGCGACTCATACACACTCCATGCCTGAAGAGTCTTGAGGCTGGCTGCATGCATTTTGGCCTACGGACCCGTCCATCAGGTAAGTTTTGGGGAAAGAGTTGGTCCATTACCACCAAGCCAAAGAATGTGGAGGTTGCCACCTCAAGGCCAGCATTTTCTTGGCAGCGGTGAGACCAGCCCATAGAATACGGCTCTGTTGCAGAGACAACTTCAAGGAGAAGTCGCCATTAAGTAGAAACTAATAAGCAAAATCTTGGCTAAATTGCAATTGGGACTCTTGTCTGCTGGCTGGTGGAAAGATGAAGAGATAAAGAGTAAAAGAGAAATACCATACTGTGCAAAGATCAGAGACCAGTCTTCATTTGTTTATTTAATTTTCAGGCAAAATGGTCGTTAAGTGTAAGTTAATAAGTGTTGTTATTATTTTATTAATAATTCTGGAGATATTTCTAAGCAGATTAGATGTAAGATAATTCATTTGCATAAGGAAAGGAGAAGTCAAAGGAAAGTAAATGAACAAACGGGACTTTTCAAAACTGTTCAAAAAAGGTTTAAATGCCATAGAGGAAATGGGATTCCTAACAACCACCTGGAAGACCTGGTAGACCACCCAACCTCTCCCCATCAGATAAACAGCACTCAAAGCCATCAGATAAACAGCACTCAAATCTTTGAGAGAGAGGAGAAAATCAAGTTGCTTCAGATCTGAAAACATCCACAGGTGTTTCTGTCCATCCTTCCACTGTGAGAAGACGACTCAGCGCTATGGGTCTGAAAGGATGTGTAGCTGTCAAGAAGCCTCACTGAGAAAAGGAGAAGGACACATCAAACAAAGAAGCTGAACGATGGACTGACCACCCGAGAGTCCAGACCTCAACACCATTGAATGTGTTTGGGATTATTAGGATCATGAAAAGCAAGAAATGCAACCAACTTCTAAGACTGAACTTTGGAGGTTTGGAAAAATACCCTTAAAAAGCTGAAAGTGAGTCTCCTGAAATGAATGGAAGCTGTAATAAAGGCAAAAAGGTGGACACAGTTATGTTCAAATGACAAACTTCTACACAATGGCCGTTCTGAATGGACAACAAATAAACGAAGAGTGGTCTCTGACGTCCCCACAGTACTGTAGAATGCAACTAAAAGATGAATAAGGAAAGGGAAAACGTGAGGATTGGACTAGGAGGAAAAACACATGGATACAGAAATAGAAATATTCACTATTTGCTTTTTGGGAAGCCCATAACTGTGTGTGCATCTCTCTGGGCCTGTGCATGATATTTTTACTTCAAAAGTAAAATCTGGCTTATGACCGTGTTTGTGTGTAAACACGCTAGGTCGGTTAGTAGAGGTGTGTTTGTGGACAGCTCAGCAATGTCCAGTGATGACCCTGGATTGGACACACACACAAACACACACACACACATTTTTTTTTTTTCACATCTACTCAAAATAAAAACAACTTCAGGAACTTCATTAGAGATTGTGAGTGTGCTCTCTATTTTTTATTTCTCCTTCGTTCATAATCTTCCTCAGTTTGAAGGCTTCATTATGCACACACACACACACACACACACACACACACACACACCCTTACTAATTACAGACAGGCCTTCTTTCACACTTTGAAACTCATCACCCCAAATGAACCTCTCACCTTCAGTCATCACTCCCACTCATCGACAGTGCATGTGTGTGTGTGTGTGTGTGTATCCTAATGTATGTGTAATGCTGTAGGTGTTTTGGGTGTTTACAGTTCATCTCTCAGCACTAAGGGCTATTGGGTGAGTCTGAGAGTTGTGTGTGCGTGTGTGTGTGTGTGTGTGTGTGTGTCC